CTGCGTAAGCCGGGGAGGGCGGCGGGGAGGCGGAAACGGTCCTAAAAGAAGCAGGAGAAAAAATCGAGTTGCGATGCGAGAGCGGGCGATTGCGATTACCAGGGGATCCCACCACAGCCATAAATGAGATGTGGTTTGTGTAACCCCGGGGTGACCGATAGCAGAAAAACTCATATTCTTGGGTTTTCATCTGGTTTGCAAGCCCAGCTATTAAATAATGGGGTTTTTTCTGCGCACTGAAGTCCTCCCGCCACGTTTTTTTCCTGGCACGTGGCGCTGAAATTCGTCTGTGCGTCACGGGGCGGTTTTCTCACCTTCTCTCTCTTCTCTCCATCAGGTCACGCGCAGAGTCGGAGCATGAACGACATCTCGGACACGCCGAGCACCGACCAGGTAACCGTCCCCGAAAACCGCGATGCTGTGGGGAGCGTCTCTGGCCTGACCCGCGATGGGGCAGGGGCTCGGTGGTCGTTAAGGTCCATGTGAGCCTTGTGCGGCTTTGCTCGGTCGATAAGCACACAAATTCCTAATTAGGGAAATTAATACATGTATTGATCCCTGCTAACTCGGGGGGGAAGGCTGTCCCAGAAATAATACCTGTGCTTGCAAGTTGAAGGCAGAATTAGGGACATGCGAGGATGCTGATGTAGCTTGAAATCCTTATAAATATAAAAATAATCCTAAAATTCCTCAAAATCTTTAGGTAGGAAAGGAAGGGTGCTGGGAAGAGTGCAGAGATCCTAAAAGAGCTTTCGCTTGGCTGGGTAAGGGCAGGTCGCGGGGGGTAAATCCCACCCAAGCCCTTGGGTCTGCAAACGTGAATACGGCTCTGGAGATAACGGTGTGTAAACGGAGGCGGGTTCCGCTTTTCCCTCCGTTTCCAGCATGACGGATGTGGGTTCCTTAACGCAAAGCTCAGCGAGAGCCCGGCGGGGGCTTTTCCATCCCTGGTTTGCTTCGCACAGGGGGGCTGGGAAGGGGGTCGGGCTGCTCGGGCCGCTCGTGGGCAGATCTCTGCTTGGCGAAGCCATGGATCCGTTCTTCCGTGAGATGTCCCACCTCCACCCCGCTATCGGGGCTATTCAGCCGGGAACGTTGCGTTATATGGGCTTTGCTTCATTTCTCTTTGTGCGTGATTTCAGCCTAAGGGAAAATCAAACGCGACGTGGGTCTGGGATGGTTTGGGATGACAGCTTGCGTGTCCTTGCGGGGCTTACCTGGGGTGATGCAATTTAGGGATGGAAATTCATGCGCTGCTGGGAGCTACGGGACGGGGATGCCACGACATCAGGGAGGCAGAAGGTTTCCGGAGCACCTCCCAAAATTAGAGCTGCAGTAAAGCAAGCCAACTGCCCGCTAACGAACCCCAAATATCAGCCTCCAGCAGTGGGGTGTGGAGGGTTAATCCCAAAATATGCAAAGCATTTAGGTTTAATCGCCCTATTAGGCCCACTACAAAGGGACTTTTTAAGTGTTACATGAAGCTTAGTGGTCACTGTTAACTCCTGCTCTTGCTTATTCCAAGCTGCATTGGAGGAGTTGCTTTATTATTATTTTTTTTTTCCATTTGGGTTTAAAAGATTAGAAAGGGGAGAGCTTGCTGCCCAGCTCACATGCCTCCCCTCATGCTGGCATATAGATTATAATAACACCCTGCCTGGGTTGGTATTGAACCCTTTTAGACTAATAATGAAAGAGCTGCAGGGGAGAAGAGACCCGAGGAATAAATCCATGAATGAGGTTTCCTACTTGCATTATTTGTTCCTGCTCTGAGGATGAGATTGGGGGAAAATGAGCTACAAAAACATCCCCCGTGCATGGCGCCGAGTGGTGTTTCTGCATTATATAGGGTCCCGGGGGAGCCTGGGGCTGCAGGGCTGCAAATAGACTTGCAAAAATGCATGCTGGCTTGCTCCAGGATCCGTATTTTTGGGCTCAGATTTTCCGCAGGTGGATTGCACGGGGTTTTCCTTGCATAGACCCCAGCGCAGCAAAGCACCTTTTGCAAACCACCCGGTTGCACGTTGTATTAGGGAGCCCCGAACGTGTGGTTTCAAGTTAATCTCGGGCTTAGTGATGGGTTTGAGTAATGAAGAAATTCAGCTTTATGAATTCTTGTTGGTTTATTCTTGGATATGGCTCTTGAATTCCCACCTCTGGGAGTCCTGGGACCATCGGAGACGAAGAGGTTTGAGCCTGCGGCTTCAGCTTTTGTGTTCAGGGTGTGGAAAAGAGGGAGAAAGGCCAAATTTTGGCAGTCGCTCCCTTCCCTACCCTCATCTTCCCAACAGCTGAAGAACAAGTTCATCAAGAAGATCCCCAAGGACGCGGAGGCCTCCAATGTGCTGGTGGGAGAAGTGGAGTTCCTGGAGAAGCCCTTCGTGGCTTTCGTGCGGCTCCTCCAGGCGACAATGCTGGGAGGGATGACGGAGGTGCCCGTCCCCACCAGGTGAGTGCAATTCCTCCACGTCCGAAGCACCGAGTGGTCTCACGGATGCCGGTGGTCCAAGGTTGCCAACACAGCGCCTTTCCCTTCCCAGGTTCCTCTTTATTCTCCTTGGTCCTACGGGAAAAGCCAAATCCTACAACGAGATCGGCAGAGCCATAGCAACCCTCATGGTGGATGATGTGAGTAGACCCAATGCCCGGCCCTTGCCGGGAATGCCCTTGCTCAGAGCCGAGAAGAAAAAGCGATTTCCATCCTATCACCCAAACGAATGAGCTTTAAAATCCCGTAACGACGTGGGACACGTGCGTGCTGGACACCGTTCCCAGGCTGACATCTCCCCCCTCTCAACCCCCAGCTCTTCAGCGACGTTGCCTACAGAGCCAGGGATAGAGAAGACCTGATCGCTGGCATAGATGAGTTTCTGGATGAAGTCATCGTCCTGCCACCCGGCGAGTGGGACCCCAACATTAGGATCGAGCCACCCAAAAAAGTGCCCTCGGCTGAGAAGAGGTGGGTGGGAGACGTGGGGCTGCTCCCAGCCCTGTAGCCATCCCCATCTCTCCTGTTTTGGAGATGCTGGAGGACAGCAGCTTTGCTTGCCTTCATCCCTAGAAATAATCTCTGCAAATGTTCCAGCAATGCTGCTTTTTCAGCAGTTTTTGCCCCCAGATCAGCTCAGAGCCATTTCCACTCTGTAAAATCTGCATTACCCCCCCGGGCTGAGCAAATCCAGCTCTTGATCTTTCCAAGGTCACCCCGAAACCCAAGCTCTAGTGCAGGCAGAGAGCTATACCATGGCCTTGGTCATGGTCCCTGTATCAGGACCAGCTTGGTAGGGCAGGTGCCGTGGCCGACGCCAATGGCTCTCTCCTGCAGGAAATCGGTTTTCTCGCTGAATGAAGTGGGGCAGATGAACGGCATGGCCGGTGGGGCAGGTGCCGGGGGTGGTGGAGGAGGCAGCGACGATGGGGAGATGCCCGAAGTTCATGAAATCGGGGAAGAGCTCACGTGGACTGGCAGGTGAGCAGCACCCCAGCACCCATCAACATCTGATGGCTCTCTGTGGTCTTCTGGGGCACAGAGGGGTGAAACCCTTTTGGGCACAGGCTTTTGCGCAGCACCGTATCTATTTTGGTGGAAGGCACATGCATCTGGTCCTTGGTGGTGTCTCCCCAGGTTTTGCGGTGGCCTCTATTTGGATATCAAGAGGAAGCTGCCCTGGTTCCCGAGCGACTTCTATGAAGGCTTTCATATCCAGTCCATCTCTGCCATCTTGTTCATCTACCTGGGCTGCATCACCAACGCCATCACGTTCGGGGGCTTGCTTGGAGATGCTACGGACAACTACCAGGTTGAGTCCAAGGAGTGGGGGTCACTTTGGCTTGGGAACAACAAGCAGGGATGGCATGGCATGGCATGGCATGGCATGGCATGGCATGGCATGGCATGGCATGGGTTTTACCCTCCTTGGGCCACGCCAAGCTTTAATGCTGGAGACGGAAATTCATTTCCGAGTGGGACTGGCAGTCCTGAAACACCTGCAGGATGGGAAAACCCATCCCAGTGGCAATGCCAGGAGCATGAGGACATGGTTGCAACCATCCCATATAGGTCCAAGCAGAGGTCCTTAATTCCCATCTCCATTCGGGGTGTCCATAGGGATGTAATGTGGCACAGCATCACCGTAACACCGGGTTTGATCCAATCCCAGGGCGTCATGGAGAGCTTCCTCGGCACAGCGATGGCAGGCTCCATGTTTTGCCTCTTCGCCGGGCAGCCGCTCATCATCCTCAGCAGCACCGGCCCCATCCTCATCTTCGAGAAGCTGCTCTTTGACTTCAGCAAGTAGGTGCTGGGCAATGCTGGGGGGAACCAGCACCCATCCGTACTGGGATGGGAGCTGTCCTCCAGCCCACGGCGGGCTCTCACGGGGCCTCTCTGGCCTTGTCCCCGCTTTCAGAGGCAACGGCATCGACTACATGGAGTTTCGCCTCTGGATCGGCTTGCACTCTGCCGTACAGTGCCTTATCCTGGTGGCCACTGACGCCAGCTTCATTATAAAGTACATCACCCGCTTCACGGAGGAAGGCTTCTCCACCCTCATCAGCTTCATCTTCATCTATGACGCCATCAAGAAGATGATCGGAGCCTTCAAGTACTATCCCATCAATTCGGACTTCAAGCCGGACTACGTGACCATGTACAAGTGCGAATGCGTTGCTCCCGACCCAGGTGAGTACACATCTTTTTCAGCACCAAATGGGAAAGATGAAGGGGATGGGGGGGTCTCGCTGCAGATAAAATCCCGTTGGATCGTTGGCTGAGGACATGGAAGGAGACAGCTACTCGGTCAGCGTGGGCAAGACGGAAGTATAGCCTTGTCCCCCATGGATGAGTGTGTCAGACAGGGCGAACAGTGCCAGAGAGCCAGAGCCTCAGCCTCGAGCAGGCAGACCTGGATGGATAAAAAGGAAATAGGGGGGGAAAAAGACATTTTAGATCATTAATTCCAGCCTGCTGCCAATGGAAACTTATCCTCCAGCAATTGCGCTGGAGGGATTTTGTCCTCTCCGGTGTCTGGGACGCCCCAGGATGTCCCAGTTGGGTGTGGAAACCTCCTTGGACTCTTTTTTCTTCTCTTTCTTACTCCTCTTCAAAAAGGAGAGGCCATCAGGCTCTGAGCAGACCGTCTTTTGATGCCTCCTCCGGTTTTGCTCTTGGATGGAGGTACCGGATGTTCCCCGGTCCGAATTGTGCAGCTCAGATGCTCCCGTGGCCACCGGGAAGGGAGCGGAGATCTTCGCTTTGGGCTAATGGCAGCGACCGCCTGCTCTCAGGCGAGCTGAACTTATTTAAGAAGTCTAAATGCTAACGATTTTGGGGAGTATCAGCTGCAGACAGAGGAGACAGAGCGCTGTGATGGTGAAGCTCTCCCCAGAAATAAACGCATCCAAGACCTACCACGCCACGTGTCGCCAATTGCCATTGCAAGAAGAGCTCTTACCTGCCGCAGTGGAAATAACATTTATTGGGTTTAATTTTGTATTTTTTCTCATTTTCTATCAACCACCCACTGAGTGACCCGATCCCGTCGGGTTTTGAAAGCCCTGCGTGCAGTGGGGAGCCGCCCGCAGACGACGCGATCCTTTCCGAACCCAAACCCTCCCAAATTTGACCCGCAGGAAGGCGAAGCCCGACGCCCGACGCAATCCCCGGGGGGCTGAAATACCCCAAACGGGACCATGAGCATCTCCATCCACCCATGAGTGCCGGCGTCTGCCCGGCAGCACTCGCCCCTGCAGCCTTACGCAGGAGGAAGGCGAAGCCTTCAGCCTCTGGGGAGGTCTCCCCCTCTTCCAAGCCCCCGTTCCGAGGAAACCCCGGTCAGCCGAGAGACATCCGCACCCCAAAAACCTTAAACCTCTTTGCAACCCAGCCCCGTTCCTCGCCCTTGCTGCCCCGGGCACCCCAGGCAGCGGTGTCTGCGTTGGAATTTCCGTTCCTCTAGATATCGAGAAATGTTTATTCTCCCCACATCCTTTTTTTTAATCTTTTTTTTTTAATTAGTTCTGATTTTTTATTATTATAACTGATTTGTACCATATTTGTCTCTGCTGCACACATCAATTTGGGCTGATTTCAATCTCAAGTGAGTATCACCTTCTAAATATTAAAACTCTTTTAATATTTGATACTCTTCCCCCGTGGGGGTTTTGTTGTTATTTTTTTTCCATGTATTTTACTTTTCTCTCTGCTCTGATAAAAGGGTTTATGTAGAGCCCTTAGGGTTCCTCTCTTAAAATACCCCCAGTGGTACGCTACCCCTCTAAGTTGCAGAAACCATAAATAAGGTCTGTTTCTGGAAAAATAAAAGGTTATCGAGGGAAAAAAAAATTAATAATAATAATAATTTTTTAATGTTGGGTTTGCCAGTGCCATTTCCCGGGACCCGGTTTCGGCAGCCCTGGGGTCTCTGCTTCTAACCCAGCACTCGCTTCTCCTCCATTAATCCTCGGCGCCGGGTCGGGGCAGCCGAAATTCCCACTCGGCGCAGGAAGAGGATGGATCGGAGGGAAAATGGGGGGCAGAGCGGTCCCGGACCCTACTAAGGGGCACCCATAAAAAACGTGGGTGCTCCTGAAGCTGCAGAGCTGCGTCGCCCGAAGAGCCAAGCAGAGCTGCTTTTTGCACCGGAGGGGGCTAGAAAGGATGGATTTTTTTTGCAGAGAGACACTAAAATATTTAGAAAAATTAAAAAAATGAGTAAAAAAGGCAAATTGGGCATGAGTGGGTGCTGCCTCCCCAAAAATAATAACCTGCTTTTTCAGTCTTCTACCCTCGTTGTTTTAAGAGTGGGTGTCGGGATGCTCGGCCCCGCTGCCGGTGGCTTCCCTGGGAAGCTCCTAAAAATTTTAGGAGCTGGGAAGCTCCTAAAAATACCTCCCCGCCGGCAGTTGCCAGCCCTGGAGGGAGAAGGCACCGAAGGAGAAGCCGTGTTCGCCGCCGGCGCACGGGATTAATCGGGGAGAAGTCTCTGCGGGGTTAGAAATGGGGGGTTTTCTCCCCAAATCCTGGTCCACCCTCGGGGTGCCGATCCCCGCACGGCTCTCAGAGATGTGCTCGACCCGGTGTTTGCTTTCACGCCGGACGGGCTGAGCTGTGCCTCTCTGGGTGAAGCCCGGCTGCTTTTGACACCAAACCCCTCGATATTAGCCAAAAACCTCAATAACAAACTCCTTTCCCGCAGCCAACGCGACCTTCTTTGATGCTTCAGCTCCAGTGGCACCAAACACCACTAATGTTTCTCTGGTAAGCGGGTTTGCTCATCCCGACGGGAAATTTGGGACACGGGAGGGCAAATCCCAGGGACTTCCGCACCTGGGGAGCGATGCGCGCCGGCTCGGAGCCGGGGGAGTGCGGGATTTGCGTTGTTTTGCGTTCACGGTTGGGCTCGGCGGCACCAAATCCCCAATTTTTTGCCCAAATTAATAGCAGTTCCGGGGTTTTCCTGTGGGTATGGGGCTCCCAGTGGCAGCAGCCCTGGGAAATACCCTTCTCCTTACTTAAACTGCTAGATTTGCTTTTTTTGTCCAGGAAATACCCCTTTCCTTGCACGATGCCAGTGCTGAAAATGCCGATTTTGCTTTATTTGGCTGGGAAATACCCCTTTCCTTGCACGCTGCAATTGCATGAAATGCTAATTTTGCTTTTTTGGCCAGGCAATCCCCTTTTCCTTGCACACTGCAATTACTTAAAATGCTAATTTTGCTTTTTGGGGGGGCTTTCTCCCCAGTACAATGCTATTAACCTAACAGCTCTGGACTGGACTCAGCTGAGTAAGAAGGAATGTCTCAAATACGGCGGCAGCTTAGTGGGGAAATCCTGTAAATTCGTGCCCGACCTGGCCCTTATGTCCTTCATCCTCTTCTTTGGGACTTACTCCATGACCCTGACGCTGAAAAAATTCAAATTCAGCCGCTATTTCCCCACCAAGGTAAGGAAAGCGCCGGGTTTTACCCTCCTCTTTTCCGAGAGGCAGGAAAAACGGGAGCTGTGGGTCTCTTTGCTGGTTGCAAAGAGCTCCAGGAAAATAAATCTACGTTTCTAGGAGATGTTGGTAGCAATAAGGAGAATCCTCCCTGAGCTTTTAGCCGCTGATTCGGCTCTTGCATGCCGAATACCCCCTCCCCTTGCGATGCAAAGGGGAAAAAAATCTGCATTTTGTGGGTTATACCCGGGTTACCTGCGGGTGAGAGGAGCTGGAAAGCCCCGGGGAAGGACGCTGAAGCAGGAGCAAACCTCTCCACCCCATTAATTACCCTCTCCACCCCATTAATTACCCTCACCACCCCATTAATTACCCTCACCACCCCATTAATTACCCTCTCCATCCCCATTTCCCTGTCTTGCCTCCAGGTCAGGGCTTTCATTGCTGATTTTTCCAATGTCTTCTCCATCCTCCTCTTCTGCGGAGTGGATGCCTGTTTCGGACTGGACACCCCTAAACTCCATATCCCCAGTATCATCAAGGTTCGCCCGCGCCGGGGGGGACCCCTCCCTCCTCCGCCCGCTCTCTCTTTCCAGCCCCTCACCAGTTGTCGGGGAAAATCGCGGCTCCCGTGGTGTCCGGACGCCGCCTTAAAAGCTACTTTGTCTTTTCTGGGGGAATATTCTAATTCTGTGACTTTTTTTCCTTCCTTTTTTTGTTGTTTTCTTCCCCCCTTTTCTCTTTTCTTCCCATCTCTCGCTCCCGGCAGCTGCGTAAACTTATTAGCGATTTCTCTATCTTTATGTCCATACTAATGTTTGTGGGGCTGGATGTGCTTTTCGGACTCAACACCCCAAAGCTCCAAGTGCCTACCGATTTTAAGGTAAAAAAACGCAATAAAATCCCTTTCTGGAAGCGTTGCCAAAGATTTCTCTTCCCGCCATC